GGCATTTATTGGGGGTGAGGAAATACATGTGCAGCAGACACAGAGAAAACGACCCTGAGCAAAGCAGGGGGCGGGTTCGGAAAGCCGAAAACTCCAATCTCTTCTGAGGGCTGGGAGTTTTAAACCCTCAAGAGTTTTCCTCCCTTAACTTGGGGTTGGTCGGTTTGACTAAAACAAGGGCTGCTGGTCGGCCTGGAACTGTGGTGACATGTCCCGAGCAGGCCTTGAACTTGTGGAGCCTGTCCACCAGCAAGCAGCCTGCTGGCGGACGACTGAAGCTCACAAGGCCTTTGTCTGAAGCTGCCAGGCTTTCGTCTCCAGTCAGGAGGGGGAGGAAGAAGCCGGCCTTCTTGGAGACTTGCCACCTTTATTACCCAGCCATGGCCCCTCTCCCTAGCTGTCTGCCTGCCAGAGAGTCTGTCTCGCTCCTAGCCTCTCAGGAGGGTGCAGTGAAGAACATTCATACTGAGTGACCTGGGGTACATGGACACTCTTACACATCTTTGACATTTGAGCTCCGTTTGTCCAAACAGCAGCAAGTCCCTCAGGGCTGAAGTTTCAGCTCTCCGTCTGCCTTCATGGACTCCCCCACCCCGCATCCCACTAAGCCCAGACAAGAATAAGCTAGTTAGTGATCAAAGAGATCCAGTGACTGGAAGGGATTGTGTAACTTCCCACACATGAGTCTCAAGGAGAGAAACAAGCAACCCCTGAAACTTTAAGCAGGGAAAGGCCTGACCGGAAGACAAGGTTATTGTCAGGCAAAGGAACCTCCAGAAGGTTCCCCAAACCCCAGAAGGCAGTGCAGGTGTCCAGAAGTGACAGTCTTGGCTCAGCTGAAGGATTCTGTCAGCATTCCTCAGGAACCCCTGAGAGGGTTTCTGTCAACCAGAAAGAGGCACACCCCTATGTCCCCTTCCACGGGTGGATGAGGCATCCTTATTGACAGGTACCTATGGTGAGTACCAAAGTCTGTGCTGACTCCAGGCTTTAGTCCTTACATACAATGTTACGCATTTCAAAGTCTATGCTCACCTCCTGGTCCTTCTCACCTCTCCACCTCCTCCACCACGCTAGCTCCAAGGCTGCTGCAGCTCACAAGTGTCCCTCCTCCCCGTAACTGTTTGTCCAGTGTACAACGGCAAGGTTTCCCCCGACCCCAGCTCCAAGCATGTTATCGTCACTAATCTCGATTGTTCCTCTCTGCTATCCCTGCTTCCTTAGCCCTGCCCAAGTCCTGTCTGCTTCTTTTCTCTCTGCTCTGGACTCTTCCTCGGGGTGTTATCTCTCCTCTATCCACGATTAAAAACAAAAACAAAAACAAAAACAAAAACAAAAACAAAAACAAAAACAAACCTCCCCCCAATCATGAAAACAGCCATTCCAGTGGTTTCTTTGCTGCATCCTCGATTACAGCCATCAATAAAGACAATCATGATGGGGGAGGGGCAAAATAGCAGTGATCAAGGATAGAGGCTGCTGGAGGGCCACGTGTCCCAGCTTACTGTTCCCTTGGAAGTGTGAGATGTTTCCTCTGACTGTCGATTTCCTCATCCATAAAATGGGACTGGCCATAACTAACTACCTTTCAGAACTGTTGGATCTAGTGTACCCAGAACGAGCTGCGTAGAGACATGTGAATGAGAAGTTAGCTAACTTCATTAATAAGTAGAAGGAGAAAGAGCATTAGAGGGGCTGTGCCCAGCTGTTTCACCTTGTAAAAATCGGTGGCATCCCTGAACTGCCTCTGATTTTAGCCTAGTGAGGAAGTGTTCTCTGCCCCTCACTTCAGGGGCAGGGGCATGGTGCTAGTGGAGCTGGCCTGCTCCGTGTGGTTTGTCTCTGGCCCTTTAAGCACAGTCCACCCTGTTCCTGAATCCGTTGGACCATAAAGGAGAGCTGTAAACCGGGGCTGTCCCTCTTCCTTCTCTGTGGCATCCACCCAGATCTTATCCCGCCTCCCTCCAAACACTAGGGCCTGAGATTGATCTGCTGCAGCTCCTCCTGGTAGACCTCAGGTTCCTCTAACCTCCTGTCCTCCTGGAAGCTTCCCTGACCCCAGCACCTGACTGCAGGGGCCCCTTCCCTCCTATTCCCTCTCTTCTACTAAGATGAGCAGCCAGACAGGACACCATAGCTGCCCAGTTCAGGACAAAGAGGATCAGAGCAGTTCAGAGGAAGGGGCGGCAGGAAGTTCCTGAGGAGACAGGTCTGATCTTTCAGGTCAGGTATCTACGTTTCTAAGAGTCCCCTGTAGTCTTATGACTTCATGGAGGCATTGCAAATTATGGTTAAAGGACAGATGCAGCTTCCTGCTTCTGTGAGAGTTTTGCTGGAATGTAGGATTAGCCTGTGGTTTGTGTACCCTCTGTGGCTACAGAGGTGCAGCTGAAGTGTCAAATCTCAGAGGCTTCTGAGTTGCCAAATCTAAGATAGTTGCTATGCGGCCTTTGGAGGAAAAGTCGCTCACATCTTGGTTTAACGTATTGGCGTCCAGAATGAGCAATCTGAGGAGAGCCGGTTCAATGGGAATGCTTTGCCAAGTACAGCAGTCCAGCGCACACCATGTCCTTACTCTCAGTTATTGACCATGTTCCCTTGGATAGTTAAAGCTCTGAGAAATCCTGCGTATAAGACTCTGCTGATCAACCTAGCATTTCCCACACTTCTTTGAGCTACAGCTTCACTTCCTCTGACCACCTCTTACCATCCCAAGAAGCTGATGGCCTAGGGATAAGCCTGGTAAAGACCGATTGGTTAGACAGACCAAACAACCTGCAGTTTTGACCCCTCTCAGCCATCCACAAACTGAATGGTCTTGGCTGAATTGTGTGCCTGTCAAGAACTGCTTGTTCGTTGGTGGCATGGGGCAACAGTGGCTTTTCTGTCTCTCTTCCTGGTTTCTCAGGCGGCTGACAGCAGGCAGAAAGTAGTCTGAAGGGATGGTTGTGGTGTGGTGCACTTTTGACAAGTCCTGCTTCGTTAACATGGCAGTGGTGAGGTGTAGACATTAAGCCAAGGTCATGCACTCTCTAGTCTTCACTTGGATTTTGCTAGCTTGGTTACCTGGTGACTTGGTGACTTCAAACAAGTGACTTCTTCTACTGGGCCTTAGATTCCCTCTAGAGCAGTGGTTCTCAACCTTCCCAATGCTTCGACCCTTTAATACAGTTCCTCATATGTGGTGACCCCCCAACTGTAAAATCTTTGTTGTTGCTACTTCATAATTGTCATTTTGATATTGTGATGAATTATAATGTAAATATCTGATATGTAGGGTATCTGATATGCAACTCCTGTGAAAGGGTCCTTTGACCCCCCAGGTTGAGAACCACTGCTCTAGATTAAGTATCTGTAACTCCAAAGTTCTGTGTTTCCACTTGGCTAGCTGCATTCAACCTGCCTCCTTCCCCAAGACAAGTGTCTCAGAAGCCCTGAGGGTATCTCTCTTGGCTTTCTTGGTACAATATTTGGAGTCATGACCAGATATACAGAGGTGTTTCCAAAGGACTTTGATGCCACTGACAGCTTAGAAGGCAAGACTGAGACTTCTGGAAATGTCAAGGTCACAGTTCTTAAATTGGTGTTGGAACCTTTCTTCCCCACATGGCTCAATGCCTGTACTGCCCACACACAGAGTACAGACCCCTCGCTAACACATTCCAGCACCTGTGTTGCCCACATACAGAGTACAGACCCCTTGCTAACTAACACACCCAGCAAAGAAAAAGAGCAGATATGATTCCTGAAAAGATGGTAGGGTCAACAGTGGGACAAAAGTTCCCAAACAGATACGGTTATAAGGCGGAATCCACACAAAATTCCTTTCATTTGTCCCTCTTTTCTTCTTTCCCAAACCACTTCCAACTTTGTTCACAGCCTTTGATATCAAAGATTTATAAACAGAGGAACAAGAGGAGATTGGTAAAGAAGGTGAAAACCTCATGAAAAGTACCCTCTTCTTCCATTATTTAGGAAAATCCCAGAAAATCTTGACCTGGTCAAAAGATCTACAGTGTGGTAAGGACAGGGTCCAGTGGAGAGAGAGAGATGGTCAGGTGAATGGCTGTTTTTCCCTCCCATCCCACATACAAACCACCCACTGATGTGGTCATCTAATGCTCTCCCAACCAAAAGTGATGGAGGCTCTTGGGGATTCAGACCTCTTGCCCAGGTGGATCCCCAGAGTCCACCAAACCCATGCCATCCCCAGCCAAACAGGCATGGACATTTAACTGGCTGGGATCCCACTCAGTTTGCAAGTTCACTGGAGATGTAGTGAAATGGATGAAACACAATTACTGCCCTTAAGGAGCTACGGTTGTGCCTGCTCAAGTGAGCCTGGTATATGAGAATGCCACTGAGCGTGAGCAGCAGGCTTAGTGCTAACAGGCATAGAGGAAGAAGGGAGCCCAGAGAGGCTGCAGCGACAGCATGGAGCTTCATGTTTTCCACACCACCAGGAATGGAGAGATTCTGTATATCTATCTATCTATCTATCTATCTATCTATCTATCTATCTAT